ACACAGAAGTCGATTTTTCTCGTTGCGGCCGTTTATCTACGGCATAAGCGCAAACGCCCGGTCTATCTGGGTTCACGAGACCATTCGGGCTCGGAGACAGCACGGCGAGTACCACCGGCTGGTGCAGGAACTGCGGCTGGATGAAGTCCGGTTCCAGCAGTACTTCAGGCTGGACAGGACCCAGTTTGATGTGCTGCTGCGGAGGGTGGGTCCCCTGATTTGCAAGGACAATACACGGTTCTGCCGAGCCATTTCCCCCGGTGAAACGGCTGGCAATTTGTTTACGTTTTTTTTACTGTCTCTGTCAAAAAAAAAAAAGTTAATTGTACAGACTATTCAATCATTTAAACCTACTTGGAATCCCCACAATCGCCGAAACTCCTTTCCACGCATCATCCTTTTTATTTATGTCCCTGTACGTGGGCAGAGACATATCAATTAAAACTGGAAAATGGCTAACCGCAAGGATCAATTTTTCATTCCATCACTGCAGCCCAGGGGCTGAGGAGAAGGATCACGTGCGCTCCACTCCTATTGGTTGTCGCTCACGAAAATCGCTCTTCATTTGCATAAAGTAAAAAATTTCTCAACTTTGTCGCTTCGCCAGACACGCCCCATCTAGTCGCCAACGATCACTGTCGCACGTGTCGCCGGAAGTCGCCCGCTCACCATTGAAATGAATGGTATCGCGTCGCTTGGTCGCGTGTAGTGTGAACGGGGCTTTACAATAGTCATTTAGTTTTTCTTCGTTTCTGATGTATACATCATACTTTCATGAATACAAGTATATTCATGAAATACAAGTATACAAGTATACATCATACTTTCATGAAATCATGCAACATACTCTACCTTGTCTGTGGACATCGTTCATTCCAAAGCGAGCGTGCGTGCGACAGTTGGCTGTGCTAGGCTAAATTATTTACGACCGCGGTAATGGACAATTCCACTTCCAACCTGTAGGGTGACCGAAGAGGAAAAGTTACTTGGTGTTGCTTTAAGTCTGACCACTAGTGCACTTTTTGTATTCATTCTCTTCACTTATTAGGACGGAGAGTGGTTTTGGAGTGATGGAACTGTGTATGACTTTGACCACTGGTGCTCTGGAGAACCTAGCAATAGTGTTTCCGAGAACTGTTTGGAGATCAACTTTACCCGTGAGTGCACTTTTCTCTTTTTTTTTTTGTAGTATAATTTGCAATCCTATTTCATATCGTACGGTAACGTTAAATGACTCGTTTGGATTTCACCAAGTGCCTAAGTTGAGCACCACTGACTCTAACCCCACTGTAATGCTCAGAGTAACTGATTTCATTATTCCACCCTACAGCTAACCGTTGCTGGAACGACGCTCCCTGTTCAACCTCAATGAAATATATTTGTGTTTTGGACGGGCGAGGTCATCATTAGTCATCCTGCTCCATACATTTACTTTTTCTGATCTTAACAAGTTATTCTGAAATCCAATCTCTTCTGAATTTTTATTTCTCTTCAATATTTTCTCTGAAACACTCCTCAAAATTAATAAAAGCATTGAATCAAACCATGTGCATTGTGGACAATCAAATGAACTTCTATTGCATAGCAAGGTTTGAGGATTTGTTTAGAAGCTGAATTAAGGTTTGTTGATTTTTCATGTCTGCCACATATAAACAATGAGCCAAAACTAAATCATTGACTTCCAGCAAATCATATGCAACACGTTCCTACACACTAAAAAAACTCCTGGGTCGAAAATAACCCATAATGGGTTACCCAACTTCTGAGTTAAAAAAGGACCAACTCATTTCTGGGTTGTTTCAACAAATAACCCAGAAAATGGGTTGAAGAAATAACCCAGGAGTTTTTAGTGTACATGTGCTTGTGTGTTAGCATATATGGAGGATCCCTATTCCACTCTACAGATAAAGCGTTGTGGAAAATTAGGGTTCACGTACCAACCCCGAAGTGATCTAATAAAATTCTGTATCACAATTTAGAGGCAAGACGAGTAGTTTTAGGCATGGTTTGTAGGGAATTACAAACATGCGCACATATATTCAAACGCACATAAGTAGAGCCTATACAAAGTGAGATTTCAATGGTATTTTGAACATTGAACTGGGAAATATCCCTTTGACATCTGGTCACCTTGAGATCTTTAGGCCTGTTTTAATATTTAGGAAAACATAATTTATCATACCATTAAAAGTATCGGGCTGCACACATTTACTTGTAGCCATTTATCTATTTGATATAGCTATATTGTAATATGATGATCCAACCCTTAGCTGAACTGTTCTATCAAGCAAAATAGTATTTATCCGATTAAACATTAGCTATACCTTTAACCCCTTTGCTTCATTTACTTTATTACAGTTCCTCCTAGCATGTCTTTTCAAAAATACAAATATACCTTTTCAGTATAAAAATATACTTTTGTTTACTTGTGCCTTACGTCTGTCTCTAAACATACGGCAGAATCTATACTGCATTTTTCACAGAAGCTGCACTAAAATAATCCCTTTCCTTTCAAAACACAGTTCAGTCCAAAAATCAACAACAAACAAAGAATTTGATGTTAATGTGATAAGTTGGCTGCATATGCTTATCCTTGGCTGGCTTAAAGACCGAAATAATGTTTATTTGTTTCCACGAAGGAGGATTAAGTATTTCATGCTTTCTTATTGCATTCAAATACAAATCAGCACTTCTCAGAACAGGTAACAACATTTCTGTGACGCAGTTAGATGTTCAGAGGTGGGAACGTCCAATACTTTAATAAACACAAAATAAACAAACACCGAACCAAAGTAGAAACGGACGACTGCCGTGAATTACACACAAAACATAAAACGCCCTGCTTGCCACAATTTCTTTTCAATCCTCCCATCTTTCATGACATACTTCCTCGCTATAGATTTACAGTCCATTCCTCCAATAGATTTTTGGCAATGTTTAAGTGGCTCGAATGACCCCTTAAAGGCTTCTTATAGCACTTATAGAGCCACCATACATCTATGTTGGGGTTTATTTTCTTTGTGGTTTCAAGGGACACACACTCTGTATGTCTTCATGAGTGACAGATAAGAGACCGTGTCCATTTAAAGGTTTTAATGTCATAGAATGACGTTGTGAAGCAGTAATTTTCCATTGCTTTTTTTTTTTTTTTTAAGTTTGAGCATTGAAACAAAAATGAAACTTCCAGTAAGAAAAAGAAAAAAAGTCAATGGGGTCCAAAACTAAAAAGAGCTCTTATCAAAATATGCTTGCAGTGATTTTAACCAGCTCCTCTGTAAACTTTAAGTGATTGATTGCAATCACTCATTCATTTAGTGTTTCAGTGACAGTGTACTTCAATCCCCTGCAATAACCCAATAATGTTGAAGCAAAAGAACAGCAAATCACAAATATTCACAGTTAGATTATAAACTTAATCTATCATCTGTGGAAATGCTTGTTTTGTCACATCCGAAGCCTATAGAGCACAACTGTCGTCTTTTGGCTTGCCACTTTCTGTTTCAACATCGGCGTTTGTTTTGTTGACTACAAATTCAGAAATCGTTTTTAGTCTTTTAGCACACGTTTATTAGTCTCATTTTTCTTATTTTAGAGACAATGATGGAAAAGGGAGAGGAATGGGATCTGTTTTTCACCTGCATGTCTGCAAAGTCACCTCAGCTTTTCTGATAACATAGAAAATAAATCACACAATGCCCTTGTGACTTGCTTTCATTCAGTGGAACAGAATAGTCTGTTCAAGGTTAGTTTCAAGCTTCAGTAGCTTTCACCAAGAACCCTTTACAGAACAGAAACAAAAGAGTGGAAAAATGCTGACACTGAACGCATTAACTAAAGCCCGAGCATCTCGATTCTGAATGAAGCGAGGCCGTGTCAGGTTGATTTCATTTCATTTTTTTTTCATTTTTTTTTTTCATCTTTTTTGCAATATGGTAAATTAATTTCAGAACAAAAAAAATTGTTATCGTTTTACCGTTCATGTTGAAGAAGAAGATATTTGTAAAAGAGAGTGTAAAAACTGTACAAATGGTGTTAAAAGGAACTCGGTAGATTTCTGACTCCTATATGTAAAAATACTGATATTCTTAGTTGTGAGCCTCAAGTTAAATATTTTTTTTAGAAGAAAACATCGCTTTATGCAATTAGATCCTCAATCCCATACATTAAGCATTAAAACTGGTTTCTTTTCAAAATAAGTGTGTGTGTGTGTGTGTGAGAGAGAGAGAGAGAGAGAGAGAGAGAGAGAGAGAGAGAGAGAGAGAGAGAGAGTGAGAGTGAGAGAGAGAGAGAGAGAGAGAGAGAGAGAGAGAGTGAGTGAGAGTGAGAGTGTGTGTGTGTGTGAGAGAGAGAGAGAGAGAGAGAGAGAGCGAGAGAGAGAGAGAGAGAGAGAGAGAGAGAGAGAGAGAGAGAGAGAGAGAGAGAGAGAGAGAGAGAGAGAGAGAGAGAGAGAGAGTTGTGGTAAAGAAGCTCTTTTAGATTGTGATTCTGAAACATCTGGTCAGGGCTTTCTATCCACTAGATGTCAGTGTTTCATTATATTTTATTAGTGTGTGTGGTACTTTCTAAACTTAATCTGAATGTCATTTTAAAAAAACATTATTGAAAATATATGAATATGATTAACACATTTACTAATGTGAATACAATGCAGGAAAAACTTCAAAACATTAGATCAATTGCATAGTAATGTTAGTAACACTAATAATAATGTTATTAGTAGATAAATAATGTAATAAATTATAAAATATCGCATTATTATTAAATATAAGTGATAATAAACATAGAAAAATAAATCACAATTATGAAATGCCTTAAAACGTTTCATTTCTTACACTGATACGTTTAAGAGAAAAGAAATAGCAAATTAAAAGACTTCTGGTAAAGCAACGAGAGTTTTCACCTTATGTAGTGGGCTATATGCATTATTTACAATATACACGCGATTGCGGATGACGCTACAAACGCGGAGGCGGGGTTAGCGTCGATGACGTACAATATAGGGGCGTGGCCAGAGCGCGGGATTATTATGGTCCAGTTTGCAGTGCGCACAGTGCGAGAATGAGCGAGAGGGGCTCCGTTACACTCATCCTGTGAGAAATGGATCATCACAACGCTTTATTATTTACACCTATTTCTTCCACGGACATGTATTACGCAAAATCAGCCCTTTAGATGGCATTTATTTTCAACAGTGCTTGTTCAGTATGACTGACGGTAGGTGACTGTGAATTGGACGTTTGGAAAACCTTCGATTATGGACATGGATAAATGAAAGGGACATCACCTGAAAACTCTGGCAGTCTTTGACATCGGTGAGCTTTTCTGAGCCATGTATGCTAATTTACATGAATTTTGAACTCATTTTCTGAAGGATTATTATGTGTAAATTGTGTTCTGCAACTGTGATTGTGAGCTGGAGACGTATTTGTCCCATATCTCTGACCTTACAATAGCCTACTCACACTTGTTCCAGGTCGACATACTTTTTAAATCCTTCACCAAGCGTCGTCTTAGTATTCTGAAATATGGCTTTACCCGACAACGCCTCTGGCATTCCCGTAGAGGAACTAGCCTTTCCAGAAATTATCGAACTGAACGTAGGAGGTCAGGTGTATATAACCCGCTACTCGACTTTAACAAGTGTGCCAGACTCTCTCCTGTGGGAAATGTTCAGCCAGAAGAGCACCAAAAACCTGGCTCGTGACACCAAAGGTCGTTTTTTCGTCGACAGAGATGGCTTTCTGTTTCGCTACATTCTGGACTACATGCGGGACCAGCAGCTCGTCCTTCCGGATCACTTCCCGGAGCGAGGACGGCTTCAGCGGGAGGCCGAATTCTTCAACCTCCCGGATCTGGTGAAACTGTTGGCACCGAAGATCAGTAAGCAGAACTCTCTGGGCGACGAGGGCTGCCAGAGCGACCCCGAGGATCCCTCGCCCAGCGCCGAAATCCCCCGAAACCTCGCCTCCCTCGGGGCGGCCGCGTGTTCAAGCCTGGCGTCCGGCGCCGGAGACGGCAAGTGCTCCGGGTTCATCACCATCGGCTACCGGGGCTCCTACACTCTCGGCCGGGACAGTCAAACAGACGCCAAGTTTCGACGAGTGGCTCGGATTATGGTGTGCGGGAAGACTTCTCTTGCCAAGGAGGTTTTTGGGGAAACGTTAAACGAAAGCCGTGACCCTGATCGCCCCCCAGAGCGCTACACGTCACGCTATTACCTAAAGTTTACTTTCTTGGAGCAGGCGTTTGACAGGTTAGCCGACGCCGGTTTCCACATGGTGGCCTGCAACTCCACAGGGACCTGCGCCTTCGCCCATGAGCAGACTGATGACAAAATCTGGGCCAACTACACCGAATACGTATTCTACCGTGAGTGAACTTAATCCCGTGTTCCTGCGTCTCCTCCCCGCCTCCCAGACCAGAGATCACCTGCAATACACGTAGAAGCTTCTAGATCTCAAACCCCACCACCTTCACCAGACTTTCCCACGTCCGAGCCCTTAATGTCTCTCAACTAACCTTTCGAACCCCGTTGATCTCCCCCTCACCAAGAGACTGCCTTCCCCTTTCTCTGCTTTTACAGCTTGTGAGAAACACAGTGTTGTACTGTTGTCATATTTTGTTCGGAATTGATCTGCTAATCTAGGAAGCTTGAGCCATTCGAAAGGGCTTCTCTTCAGTCAGTCAAATTGTTGGACGTATTATAAAGCTTTTGAGCTGATGGCCATTTCTGATGAGAAATGGATATTATGTCATTTTAAGTCATTATTATCACGTGTAACCCCGAGGCCAAAAGGAGAGGGAATCCACTAGGCTTTAAAAAGGTTTGGTAACACTTTATTTTAAGGTGACGTAGTTACACATTACTACATGTGCATTCTGTAAATTACTACAAAATTACTAAACCAAACCCTAACCGTAACTCTATTTTTAGTACATGTAGTTAATTAATACGGTTACACTTTATTTTAAGGTGTCATTGTTACAGTGTAATTATGTATTTAAGTACTGAGAATTATTAAGCAACTACATGTACTTACTATAAGGGTTAGGGTAGGATTAGGGTTTGGTTAAAGCGTTCATGTACATGTAAAGTACATGTAACATATATGACGCTGTAAAATAAAGTGTTACCCCTAATACTTATTTGAGTCAGTACAATGTAAAATATGTAAAATAAAGTGTAACCAAATGTTATAAAACCCTCTTTACACATAGATGCAGTTACTGATATTCAAGTGTCACTGTGAGACCAAAAGAACTAATAATACAGGATATTTCAAGTGGAAAAAAAGGTGTTTTGCTTTGAGTATATTCACGTGTCACACTATTTTAATTTTTAACTAGCATTATTCATCTAGTGAACTGTGTCAAGGCAGGTTATAAAGTGGGCATTAACTGAGCAGAACGGTATAACGTCGTCACCTGAAAGTATCAGGGCTGTATTGTGTTAGACGCTTTCAGTGTTTCATTTGTGTAAGGTTAGAGGATGTGAGTTCAGAAAAGTCAAGTTTCCAGTTCAGTTGAACCATAGCCATACTGCATTTTGTTTTTTATTATCAATCAAACATTTCAGTTGCTTATCTTTCAAATTGTTCATATACTAATATTAGTGTTGTTTAATGAATTTAATGTATTTTTAAATTTATCTTATTCAAATGTAATGATAATACATGTATCAATTATATTCAGTAATTGATGTTTGGATATTTAAGCAAGAGCCTATATTTTTAATTCATGAAGATGAGATTAGGTTTTTTTGTTTGTGATTTGTGTCTTTTAGAGCTTTAAATTTCAGGTATTTCCTACAAGCACATCCGTTGTAATCTCAGGCTTGAATTATAAACTGTAACACAAAATCTTTTAGTTATGAGATGCCATTTGGGATAATAAATATCATCCAGTAATTTATTTTATGTCAATCAGAAATGAAATGAATCCCTTGCTAGCCTCAAAGTGTCTTTATGAAAGCATGAATAAAACACAATTATTCAACAAGTTTATTTGTCCTAAATATAAAACAAATGTATGTATTTAATGTATTTGAACATTATCGAAACAGGCCAAAAATGATATACTGTACAAACACATTTCCAGTTTCATCAATAAAACGAAGTCAAGTTTAAATGAAAGCAACAGTGAATGCTGTATTTAGATAAGGCAGTCTTTCGTGTCTCAATTTCTGAGCCTTATTCACCAGAGACATTTCTATATTCAATACCAATTTGCAAGCATAAAAGATTAAGCCCATGTAAAAACAGTCAGAAACAGCATGAGATTCACTGACTTAAATTTAGTTTTGTTTATTCCGTCGTATAAACCCTGGAAGCAATTTTTTGAACGGTGAATTTGGCCGATCTGCTTTGCTTAGTGAAAGTAAAAAAAAAATAGAAGCATTAGATCAGATTATTAAATCTTTGTCGCCCAAAGTCTCTTCTCCGCTGAACCCTCTGTTATCATGCCTCTTCCCAGTTTCTCTCTTTCATTTTGCTCTTGCGTTTCTCTCCGCCGAGACTTCAAAGCGTGAACATAGGCCGGAATGAAAACCAGGACAAACCTATAACCAGCTCAGTCAAAGAAGATTACCCAACCAGCCTTTGTGTTGCTGTGTCTAATCTATCTAATTAAGATTGTGCTGGAACACTGAGCAGCTCACAGTTCACTCCAGTGAGGGAACAACACGTCTTTAAAGCTCAGTTATTATAGAAGCCGTTCAAAAACTCAAACAGATGACCTGAGATCACTGACACGAGAGCTATAATGTCCAGGTGTCTGAAACACCAGCATCTCTGAGCTGGAGTATGATGAGAGAAAGTGAATCAGACAGGCCTGAAACCCCACTTCAGTACAGCCAATTGGAGTTGTGAAAATTACGGTAACGCTTCCTTTTACAGTAGAGTACTTACACTTACAGTGTACTTGCCTAGAAAGTACTGGCTAATATAAGGTAAGTACATGGGTTAGGGGTAGGTTCAAGGTTAGTACCTAGTTATTACCCAGTAATTGTAATTACTATAATAAGTACCTAGTATGTACATGGGTAACAGGACTGTAAAAGGAAGCGTTACCAAAATGACTTACTTTGGTACCAAGTAGGTACTAAAATGCGAAAATATGACGATACCAGCATTTCCCTCTAGCATTTTGAGCGCTGTTCCTTAAACATCTCTGATTGGCCATTGTGTTCACACGCTCAACATGAGTCTCTGATTGGCTACAATGATCAACAATGACATCTTTGACACTCTTCATCGAGCGCTTACACAGATACACACTGGAGCGTTTAAAAGCAGGCGTCTATCAGCGGATCGCTAATATATCCGCTTATAAACAGTCGCGTGTGTATCTGTGCAAGCGCTCGATGAAGAGTGTCAAAGACAACAAGTTTTGGAAGCGTGGATCATTGTAGCCAATCAGAGACATACTGTATATGTTGAGCGCGTGAACACAATGGCCAATCAGAGACTAAAGGTTTTGGCACTTGCTATGTTAACACACAAAAAAATGATGGACATGATCCGAAAAGGTTAAATGCTCCTGAAACAAAATAGGCACACTTGTGCTCCTCGCGGTCAAAAATATGCGCATTGGAAATGAATGGGAGACGGATTTCATCTAGTGAAAACTTTTGGTACTTTTTAAAAATCTTTTTTCACTTCAGCAATAATTTGCCAAGTGTCGTCTTTAAAAAGAGTTCAAACTTCAGTCTGTGCTTGTAAGCATTCAAGATTTACGACAGTTTAAGTTGGAAATTTAAAAAAAATGTGAATAAATGGATTACAATTACTGCGTAAATATAATGTTGCACCATAAAATCCCCTAAAAATATTAAATACAAAACATTATCAAACTAAAATATAGTATTTTAATAATTCGGTCAATTTTGGCCACCACGCGAAGAGTACCAGAGGGTTAAAAATCCATTCAACAGCGCTCAAAATGCTATAGGGAAATGCTGGTATCGTCACATTCTTAACATTTCAGTACGGACTTGCACAGATACACACGGGAGCGTTTGAAAGCGACGTCTATGAGTTTACAGGTGAAACTCGAAAAATTAGAATATCGTGCAAAAGTTAATTTATTTCAGTAATTCAACTTAAAAGGTGAAACTAATATATTATATAGACTCATTACATGCAAAGTGAGATATTTCAAGCCTTTATTTGTTATAATTGTGATGATTATGGCTTACAGATATGAAAACCCCATATTCAAAATTAGCATATTGTGAAAAGGTTTTCATATCTGTCAGCCATAATCATCACAATTATAACAAATAAAGGCTTGAAATATCTCACTTTGCATGTAATGAGTCTATATAATAGGCTATATTAGTTTCACCTTTTAAGTTGAATTACTGAAATAAATTAACTTTTGCACGATATTCAAATTTTTCGAGTTTCACCTGTATATAGGAATATAGGGCTGATAGACGGCTGCTTTCAAATCTGTGTAAGCGCTTGGTGAAGAGCGTCAAAGATGTCTATTTACAACTTGTTTTGGAAGCGATGATCATTTTAGCCAATCAGAGACATATATGCTGAGTGCGTGAACACAGTGGCCAATCAGAGGTGTTTAAAGATCCGTTCAACAGCGCTCAAAATGCTAGAGGGAAACAAGTTAAATTTCAGTACCGACTTAGTACCGAAGTCTGTACTTTTGACAACTCTACAGCCAACCATCTCAAACACATGCTGCAAACGCTCATAGACCCTGCTAATACATGTAATGATACTTAGACACTGCACAGGCTGAATCAGATGGAGCTGAAACACCATCTGGCCATGGGACAGGCTCCAGCATCCCCGCGACCCTTAAGCAATTTGGTAAATGGATGGTTAGCTGGACTTCCTTAACACTCGTTCATGGCCTTACTGTTCATCATCATTGAAGAAAAATACTGTTATGGAACACAGACTTTAAACAATCATATCACTTCCCTGTTTTAATTGGAAATATGTCTTACTAAAGAAGTAAAATAGGTTGCAAATGCCATTTCATATCGACTTTGTGTGTCGAAGATTACAGTTATTACAGTGGGTTTTAAAAGACATCTAAGCATTAAATGACAATGTGACTGTCGATCCTTCACTCCGGCCAGCGGTATAATTTGTTGCATTGTGTGCTTGTGTTATTTATAGGGTCCAGGCGCAGCTGTTAAGCCATTCGGCCTGCCTCTGAACTCCTGTGAGCCAAAGTCACAATCATAGGCATTGAGGGGGATGTATCCCCCAATAATCATAATGGGATTTTTCATTGACCGATTCTTAGACTTTTCCATTTGATTCACCCTAATAATCCACATCCTTGGAGGAAAGTGCACAGCTCTCGGTGTGTGTGTGTGTGTGTGTGTGGAGGGGGTAGTG